CATAATATGACATTTAAAAGATTATCCAATGGATATAATAAACATTTACTTTATTTACTTATGCTTAAATAAGTTATTATTCAGCTCTTCTATAGAGATTGTAACATAACCTAACTTTTACTAAATCTTTATTAACTCGGCTCTCAGATTGAGAAAACTTTTAGAATTTTCAGCAAGGTACTGATAAATCTGAATCTATTAATTCATATTAGTTTCATCACGTTACATTCGGGCCCAAAAATGTATGTAATCGTTTCAGTCTCCTTTGTTCTCCTTAATGAACGCATATGATGTTACATTAAAGAACAGACTATAAAATTTATTCCCCCATTAAATAAAAAAATAATGATGCGATCGTTTTGTTGTTTGTATGTACAACGTTCTTTATGTTATAAATTTTCTTTGTGTCGATAGTAAAAAATGAGAAAGCACTCAACGTTCCCTTTCCTTAGATCTTTTTTTAAATCAACTTATTTCGAGAAGATTGTTAGACACGGCTTCATTGTGGAAGGAAGTTCCTTGTCACGTATTATGAACGTATTGTTTCACTTCCAAATGTAAAAGGTAGACAGTTAATAACATGCACTACAGTCCACTGAGGTTCTCGCCGGATCTTCTCGGTTGGTCGCGATTCCGATTCGGTACCACCGAGTTACGAGTATGTTTTTATGTTTGTATGAAGAGTTCTCTTTCTTACTCCTCAAGAATAAGGGCCGTTATTGGAAGTCATATAATAATCGTTACATTCTTAAAAAGTAGATCTATTCACTATTCCTTCAATGTTTTAGCTTTACTACACAGGCTTCCGCTCTGTCCAAAAAGCTCGCATTTTGCTTATACGTCTTCATATTTTAAAGTCAAGATCACACTGTCATTTTCCATTTGGTCTTCTGGATTGTAATATAATATCCGTAATTCCTCAGACAGTTAAAAGGTTAAGTCCAAATAGTGATAGGAACGCGGTGTAAGCTGACTGAGTTTCCCGCCGGATTTTCCCAGTGAGTCGCGATTCCGATCCCTTGCTAGGGCTAGTGTTAACAAATTCGCCAAGCTGAGCCCCGTGAGTTCGCCTACACGTTTTATGAAGCTAGCATAACCCCTCGTGGCTACTAGGCAAAGGTATGACCACAAAATTTGCACTTGCTAGAAGGATTCAGAACCCGTTACAGTCGCATCACACGATACGAGCACATTATACGGCTTTATCATTTAATGCACGTACACTTGAAATTTCATTGCCGATTCATCAACAGCAGAATAGTCAAACTCCATTATCCTGTTCCCCAAACTTGTTGCATAAGACAAGTCATCGTTACCCCACTTGTTTTCAAGTTCGGTAACTTGCAAACATAGATGATCCTGCGTGTGTCTTCGTTAAAGGGTATGGGTACAATACCCAAAACTTGAAACTTCAGGCTTCGGCCCGTCTTATCCGGCGACTCCAATAGTTCTAGTACGAGAACGTGTTGACATTACCAATTATTAAACCCACCCACATTCATTAGTATGGAAATTGTGCGGGCAACGGTGAAGTTTCGTTCGCCTGTTTACCTTGCTTTCGTCACTCTAAAGGGCCTGTCTCGGATGTTGCTTCGTAACTTTAATAATTTAATGAGGCCATTTCAGATGAGTTTCTTGAACAACACAGTTTTAGCCAGTTAAATTTTTTTTGTTCTTTAATTTAAACTAGATGATGACCGAGCATTGCTCGGTTTTTTTTTATAACGCCATCTTGTTGTGTCTTTAAAGCGGTTAGTTGCTCTCAATTAAGAAAAATAGTATTATTATTCGCCAATAGATGTCGGGAAGAGTTGATTATTGAAAACACGAATAAAACAACATTTTCTGAAAATAAATCGTAGCTAGATCGATTTATCGCCCCCGAAATCCCCTGTATACTAAATTTTATGAAAATCGTTGGAGCCGTTTCCGAGATTCAGGTTATATATATACAAGAATTGCTCGTTTAAAGGTATAAGATATTTATAATAATATATAAGAAAGATAAGATATATTTGTTTTAAAAATATTCGGTGAGTTTTCTGTTTTGCGATGTACAATGAGTTGTTTTCTGAAATTGTAGTGTGAGTGAAGCGTGGTTTTAGTTGTAAGTTTTTGTATTCAATCATCAATTATCAGTTAAAAGTTGGCTACATTTATTTTGGTCAGTTCTCACTTCTAATATTTATTTTTGTTAAAAAAAAATTAAAGTTTATCTGAATTAAAAAAACAACCATGTCGTCTTCTTTATCTAGAATTACGCTTAAAGTTCAGAGAGCCTTTGAGAGGCTAGATTCTCGTTCGCACTTGGGACTTCCTTTGTGTTATGGAACGCTTTGAATGCCGATATATTTTATTCCGCTCGTCGGGAAAAATCTAGAAAATCCTGAGCTTCAATATTATCGTAACACAATATACGTTTTATTAGATACGTTATATTCTTTGTTCGCTTCTTTTGATTTAATATTACAACGAAATTAATTCGGTACAAAAACTTAGCCAGAACGTTTCTTGGGTTGTTTAACCGTAATATTTTGCCTTAAGTCAATGCAGTTTTTGACTATGATTTAGAAAGCATTTTTATTCTAAAATTTTGTGTCATAGTCGAAGCAGTAAATTTAAAAAAAAATGAAAATTACTTCTACATTGAAATACATCAAAATAAAGTTAACAATGGAATTACCAATATCCTTTCAAAAAAAAAACAATCTTCAAAATCTATCCGCAAATGACGAAGATATCATCTGAACATACTTAAAACATATAAAATCCACAATAGAACCTCTTTCTTTGAAATCGGTTAGAAATCAACCTAGATACTTACTTACCTAGTAGATTAAGTTAATTCTTTTTATGGTGCACACCTATGTCCACTTTTAAGTTTTAAAATGCTAATGAGAACACAGGTGTGTTTTCACCTGCTAATTCACTGATAAATTAAAACCTATTAGCCGCGATACTAATCTATACAAATATTACAAATGTGAAAGTTTGTTTGTCAGACACAGAAATGGCTCGGCTCAGTACTATATGATGAAATTTCCCATAAAGATCACTTCAATCCTGGACAAGAGATACAATACTTTTCATGATCTGACACCGGCTATATTGCTGAGACGAGTGAACGAGCTCATGGTCCACTCGGTGTTAAGTGGTTATACATCAACAACGTTAATGCCGTCACCCGCCTTGACTCATACGCTCCAAGTCTTAATTCTATAGTACCACAGTTGCCCTACCCTTCAAACTGGACAGCATTACTGCTCTGGGGCACCCATCTGGCGGTACCTACCATTACGGGCTCATAAGACGCCCTACCCACCAATCAAAAATATATGATAAGAGTGTTTGGTGGTTCTTGATTTTATTTAAATAAGAATAAAACAAACAAAAAAACTGGTCGTTTATGAGACAAAGAGCGACACAAGCAACTATTTATCCCTTGAAAATTAAACAATTATAATTAATTTATTCTGAATTACATTATTGATTTAGAGTGGGTGAAGCCGTGATTCTCGTTTAGTATAACATTTTTTTTTTGTTATTGCTTAGATGGGTGGACGAGCTCACAGCCCACCTGGTGTTAAGTGGTTACCGGAGCCCGTAGACATCTGCAACGCAAATTCGCCACCCACCTTGAGATATAAGTTCTAACGTCTCAGTATAGTTACAACGGCTGCCCCACCCTTCAAACCGAAACGCATTACTGCTTCACGGCAGAAATAGGGAGGGTGGTGGTACCTACCCGTGCGGACTCAACAGGGGTCCTACCCCCAGTAACTATGCAAATTATAATTTTGCGGATTTGATTTTTTTTACACGACGTTATACCTTCACCGTGGAAGTAAATCGTGAACATTTGTCAAGTACGTGTTTCATTAAAAAAATTGGTACCCGCCTGCGGGATTCGAACACCGTTGCATCGCTAGATACGGATGCACCGGACGTCTTATCCTTTAGGCCACGACACTACTTCAAACTAACTAATAAACAGTCAACATTCAAATTTTATATTTATTACGACTGCGACATTCGGCATTGGACGTCCTGCGGCTCGCGTGTTGATAATCATAGTGAAATTAGGAATACGTACCGCGCTTTAAACGACTATAGCACCGCGTTTTTATTCCCTACCTATTCGCTGGTAGGTTAAGAGACTATTCCAGTTACGCCCGGACAGATAGGTGAACTCACGGGCTCAACCTGAGAGAATTTGCTAACACTAGCCCTAACAAGAGCAGTACTTCGCAGAATCTACCACCGAATCGGAATCACGACTCACTGAGAAAATCCGGCAAGAAACTCAGTGAGCTTACACCGCGTTCCTATTACTATTTCCACTCAACGTTTTACTTGACTGTTTGAGGAATTATAGATATTATATTACATCCAGACCAAATGGAAAATGACAGTGTAATTTTGACTTTAAAATGTGAAGACGGTTACACAGTGCGAGCTCTTTGGACAGAGCGAAGGCCTGTGTAGTAAAGCTAAAACATAACGATTATTATGTGACTTCAAACAACGACCCTTATTCTTGAGGAGTAAAAAAGAGAACTCTTCATACAAACATAAAAACATACTCGTAACGAAATAAATAAATAGTTTAAAAGAACTAACAAAATACGCTTTTATAGAAAATCGAACTAAAAAATGGAAAATAAATTTTAATAAATTTTAATTAAAAATAGTGTAAGAAAAAATTATTTTATAAAAGATTAATTTGTTAGTTTTTTTAAACTATTATTTATTTTCTATTTTTTAGTTGAATTTCAATTTTTTCAATTTTTATTTTTTATTTTTTTTACTATTGAATTGTCATCGATCCTTAATAAGTATACCAAATTTCGAGTTAATCCGACGTTTTGAAGGGGGTCAAAATCATGTTCAAAGATTCCGTTACATACTAACATACACACGTCTGAAGCTAATAAAAAAGCGTATTAATAAAATTCTATTCTTGTTCAGTCCAAGACTAAGCGATAATCTTATTAACTAACCTTCGGGCCAATTATCGTAGACGTGCAATGCGATGTCGCCGGCCGAGTCGACGGGACTGAAGACGAACTCTTTCGTCTTTCCGGAAACCAGGATCAGTCGTAGGTTGATCTGGAACAATAGAAAATACATCAGATATAATGTACATTTTTGATGGAGATGTGAGAACGAACAACAGTCCATGTATTTTCAGTTCTCCGATGTCTACATCTACACGCATTGCAATTCGGAAACATTCGGAACATTGACACTTTTTTAATAATTTTTTTTTTTATTGCTTAGATGGGTGGACGATCTCACAGCACACCTGGTGTTAAGTGGTTACCGGAACCCATAGACATCTACAACGTAAATACGCCACCCACCTTGCGATAGATCTTAGGTCTCAGTATAAGTTACAACGGCTGCCCCACTCTTATTTTAGAACAAAAAAAAATCATAATGAAATAGGTTTTAAATCGGATGGCGAGGTGATAGTGAAATGAAAAAAGAATGCAATTTTCGGTTCGTGACGCTAGCGCCATTAACGCGCGACAGATATAACCAGATAAAAGAAGGAGGAATTCGTTTCCCATCACGTGAAGCAACGGGTCGATTAGAAAATAAGGTGATTAAACTGCAACGGATGGAAAATGCAGAGGCAATATGAAAGAAGAACCCTTACTTACCTCTACTACTTACTAAATTTTTTTTTTTTTATTGCAGAGATGGATGGATTGGATATTATAATATTGGATATAAGTTCTACGGTCTCAGTATAGTTACAACGGCTGTCCCACCCTTCAAACGCATTACTGCTTCACGGCAGGAATAGGCATATTCGTATACCCTTATTTATATCTCTACTACTAATTATGCATATTACTCTTCAATTACAAATACCAGACGTATCACAGTTTTTACAATATAATTAATTAAAACGGTTAATTTTAAATTTATTTCTCGTGTTTGTAATTTTAATGTCACAAAAGTAGACCTAATGAAGTTCACCTGCTGGCGCAGCTACCGTCGATCATACCAAACAGCTTGACCGGGTGTTGCACGTCGAGGTGTATGACACATAAAAACCAGCCTTTTTTACTGTATTGCAATGACAGCTGCCATGTCCGGAGGCCGTGAATGCTTGCTTAGCAGCAGGTTATTGACATAAATCGGAAGGAAATCTGATTTTCCTAATTTTTAAAATATAATGTGAGCATTGTTTGATATGATCCGGTCACCTCATTTTTACCATAACGCCAATCCGCAGTAGTACAAAAATAATTTAACAAGGATAAAACATTGACATTAATATTAACATGTGTATGAGCGTCGAGTGTGTAGTGTCAACCTAAAATAGTACCACCCCGTAAAAGGCGACTGAAGCATTCACAGCAGAATCTTTGATTAGAATATTATTTTTACCATTTACTAGTGGTAATATTTCTGGCGCGAAGCATACATGCGTTTCCCTTTGCAAGCTGAGACACTTGTCACACGGTAGGTGGCGACATTCACGTAGTCATGCCTGCGGGCTCCATCCACTACTTACTTCAGACAAGGCCCATGAGCTGATCCATCCAAAAAAGCCCTCAGCAGTAAGTAGCTTGGACCTGCATTGCGTCGGTGACTACACAGCAAGTATCAACAATAGGTTAGGTTTAGAAGGCAACGAAAATGAGGGGTAATATTTGTTTATTTATTTATTTATAGCTTTATATACTAGACATTACAAAGGCGGACTTAATGCCATAGGCATTCTCTGACAGTCTACCTTAGGGGGGTGCAGAGATGAACCTTGATAGGTGTAGTGTGATAGTGATATTACTTAAACATATACCTAGTCAGGTCATAAATTCTGTCACATGTTTAATGTAAAATAATTGAAACAAGTTTATTCATTATGTAACCATTCATATACCAAAATGAACTTAACAAAACATAGATTCTGATGACACTAAATTTTATTCAATATGACCTCCGTGATTTTGAATACAGGCCTTCAATCTGCGCGGCCAGTCGTCTAGCGCAGCACGAACGAGGTCCATGTCAATATCGGCGGCTGCCTTAATCAAGGATGTCTTGAGTGACTCCAAATTGGGATGAGGCTTTGAGCACGCCTTTTCCTCCAAGTGTTGCCATATCTTGTAATCTACCGGATTCAAATCTGGACTGGAGGAGGGCCAGCCTTCGTGCCGGATGAAGTCGATTTCACGCGCCGCCAGCCGGTCTTGTGTGCTCTTCGCCCTATGAGCTGGCGCCGAATCTTGTTGGAATACCCAGTGCCTGTTATTGAACATGGTATGAGAAACAGATTCCACAAGGTTCGTCAGGACTGTATTTTCATACACAACTGCATTCGTTTTTACTCCTTTCTCACAAAAATGTACCTCTGTTAAGCCCCAATAAGAAACTCCCAACCATACCATGAGCGAGGATGGAAAATGACCTCGTTGGACACGCGGAATACGGTTGCTCGCTTCTTCACTACTGTGTGCGTACACCTTATCATTTTGTTTGTTGTAGCTCTCTTCTACGGTAAAAAATTTTTCATCCGAAAAAAGAATTTCCCGATATGTTTTTCCCGCGTACCGCTTCAACAAAGCGCGGCATCTCTTCAGTCTCAGGTCCATTAGACGAGCATTCAAACGATGTCCTGCTTTTCTTCGATATGCCCGAAGCCCTAAGTCTTCATTTAACACCCTTTTCACCGTGGTTCTGCTTAACCCCATCTGAAGGGCCAACAGTTTCTGCTTACGTTTGGGATTTCTTTGAATTCGCGCCTTCACAGCTTTTATCACTGCTGGATTCCTAACAGACCGAGGGCGACCACTTCTTGATCTGTCATCTACACTAGAGTCTTCATTGTATCGTTTGATGGTACGATAAACGAATCTTTTGGTTATATTCAAATTTTTCAGTATGTTAAAAATTTGAATTGGCGCGTAACCGCAACGATGCAACGCAATAACTGCAACACGGTCTTCTTTAAGCGTCCACTCCATATTTAAAAATGAGTAAAACTCTAAAAGTATTCATTTTTATTTTCATGAACAATTCGAAATTCGAATTCAATACACTTTTTTGTGGCCAGCATTCTAAAAGAAAAGTTTTTACTGTGTGACATTACTTATGACCTGACTAGTTATATACCATACATAATATTTATAGATAAAAATACTCGTACTTAAATAAATACATATATACATAAATATCTACATATAAATATATATATTAATAAATATTATCAATTAGATGACTCTGCGAACTCTCTGAGAAACAGTTCTCGAACCCTCGTCTTAAACGCTTCACGTGTAGTGGCCGACCTTATATCAACGGGAATAAAATTTGTAAATACGTTATATTCTTCTTAGTTCCAATCTGGTCTTGTGACCTTTCCAGTTAGGGGTGAACTATTACGGTTGTCTCATTAACATTACAAAGCCGCGGTTCTAAGCTTATTTACTCGTAGGAGCAACGCATTAATATGCATGTTAATCTGTCGCGGTAGAGATTCTAACGCGTGTGATGTATGTAACCTTTATTATCTAATTGAGTTTGATAGCTTGAGCCTATTTTTTTATATGCGGAGAAAAGTTTTTGCTTCGGTAGTAAATTAAAAAAATAAAGAAAAGATCTGCGACCCTGCCAGGATTCGAACCTGGAATCTTCTGATCCGTAGTCAGACGCGTTATCCGTTGCGCCACAGGGCCTTAGGTTCGTGGTCTGAAAATAGACTACTGTTCGTTTTATGACTAACATGATACACAGACTTCAACCAATAAAAATGAAGATATCATCAATATATTGGTTGTTGGCATTTTTATCAAACATGTTTTGTATTTAAAAATTTTAGGTCGGTAATACAATTGCTCCGCTTTCCTCTCTCCCACCTGAATGGTCATGAACATACTTGCGTATAGTGCTCTGAAGTTATAGTAACAAAAATCAGCCCTAAAAATCATTTCACAGCTATCAACTTTTCCTACAGTCGTAGTCAATTTAATATACATTATTAACGATAACTCATACTACAAGTTAGATAATTCCAGGTTTCAAATAAAAAAAGAATCAACAAAATCGGGTTCATCTATTAAAAAAATCTGAGGTAACACGCGTAAATAACACGGAATCGTTGGACTGAGAACCTCCTTCTCGCCTTAACCAAATTAAGAAATAGGGCGTAGGAAACGTTATTAGATATAAAATATTTTACATAAACATAACGGCATTTATTTTATCACCTCTTAAAGTGGCGAACATGCGATTCATCTAAATTAACAGCGGTCGCTATCGCCCTTGGACATCCGCAATACTTATATTATTATTGTTAAATCTTGGTGTTCATCAGTTCAATAGGAGACAAATAGTACTTTAAAAACAACTTAGCCTATTATTATTGTTATGAGAAATAAACATACAAACATGTGCTTAGAAATATGTAGAGACTACCTGTACCCGACCACTTTGCCGGGCATTTAAAATTAACATTATTATTTATCACCCCCACAAAGATTCTCATCATTAACGCCCCCGCAACTGGTGTACGGAGTCGCAACATTCATGTAAATATTAGCCTATCCATTAAGTACATGTATTTTCTACATGGATACCAACCAAGTTTCAATAAGTCAATCGGATGCATGGTTCAGTAGTTATAACGGAACATTTTTTTTTTTATTGCCTTTGTAGGCAGACGAGCATACGGCCCACCTGATGGTGAGTGGTTACCGTCGCCCATGGAATTCAGCAATGCCAAGGGCAGAGCCAAGCCGCTGCCTACCGCTTAATACTCTCCACAAGCCTCGTTTGAAGAAGGACATGTCATAGCGCTCGGGAAACACCGTGGAGGGAGCTCATTCCATAGCCGGAACATCCGTAAAAACCATTGTAGATTTGTATATTAGTATAGATAGCGCTTTTCAATGTAAGTAAGTAATCGGTTCTATTTCTAGCATTTTGGTTTCTATGGGTTCAAGGGATTACTTTCTTTTGAGGTGGCCATTCAAAAGCACTGTTACTCGCCGTTAAGCTCCATACTTGCTTCAAGCTTGATGACATTAATATTTTCTCATCAGATGTACCTACACTTTCGATTATACTTTAATCTCCTTCTGCCGTATAGCGTTTCC